CCCACGACTTGAGCAGGAGGTTGGACTAGAGGACTTCCAAGATCCCTTCCAGTCCTATGATCCCAGGATCATATTTCGGAGAAAGCTTCCCCGGGCAGAGTATCCTTGCTTTTATTTAATGCCTCTAGCCAAGTATTCTAATTTTTATTGCAAAAACCTTCTACTTGGCTTCCCACCCTTCAGTTTAGATCCCTACGGAAGGTATCTCCAGAACAGTTTGTAAAATCACTACTCCCTGGGAATTTATTCGTTTATTGTATTTATTAATCAAATTTAAGTAGCCACCACTATCACCCAAGGCAACTCTGGGAAATGTGCTGCAAGCAGGTAAAACCCCATATAAAAATCACAGATATATTTTTAAAAAAAACTTTGAATTGGACCGAGAAGCAAACTGACAACCAATGGAGCTTGGGGAGCAGAGGTATAACAGGCACCGTTCTAGGAACACACATAGCTGCCTGCTCTATTGTATTCTGTACCAGCTGAGGCTTCCAGATACTCTTCAAGGGCAGCCCTATGAAGAGTAGCAATAGCAATAGCAATAGCAGTTAGACTTATATACTGCTTCATAGGTCTTTCAGCCCTCTCTAAGCGGTTTACAGAGTCAGCATATTGCCCCTAACAACAATCCGGGTCCTCATTTTACCCACCTCGGAAGGATGGAAGGCTGAGTCAACCCTGAGGCGGTGAGATTTGAACTGCCGAACTGCAGAACTGAGTGCATTGTAGTAGTCAAGCTGAAGATTAGGGCATGAGTGCCTGTGAGCTGGGTCCACCAATTGAGGAATCAATTGCTTGAGAAACTGTAAGAAAATCTAATTATTGTTACGTTTATGATTATGATACTAGAACACTGTCTTATTCATCTCCATTGTCAACATAACTATCCAGGAAAATTTAGCAAGGTTGACAAGTAGATTAGCAAAACAGGAGACGTTCAAAAGTCTAAATTTACAAGATGCCCCATCACACGTGCTCCTCACCCCAAATTGCAAGATGAAAAGACAGGAGTCTCGGCCATCTTTCACCCAGAGTTATTTTCTTCAATCTTGGAGGAAACATATAGAGCAGTGTTTATATAGGGATGGAATTAAGATATTAACAAAAGTGTTAATAGTACCACTTTATAATGTCTTGGTAAGACCTTGGTAAGACTACTGCATCCAATTTTGCTCACCACAATATAAAAAACGATGTTGAGACTTTAGAAAGAGTAAGAGAAGAGCAACAAAGATGATTAGGGGACTGGAGACTAAAACATATGAAGAACGGTTGCAGGAACTGGGGATGTCTAGTTTAGTGAAAAGAAGGACAAGGGGTGACATGATAGCAGTCTTCCAATATCTCAGGGGTTGTCACAGAGAGGAGGGGGTCAAGCTATTCTCCAAAGCACCTGAAGGCAGGACAAGAAGCAATGGATGAAAACTAATCAAGGAGAGAAGCAACCTAGAAGTAAGGAGAAATTTCACGATAGTGAGAATAATTAATCAGTGGAACAACTTGCCTCCAGAAGTTGTGAATGCCCCAACACTGGAAGTTTTTAAGAAGACCATTTTTCTGAAATGTAATAAGGTTCCCTTCTTGAGCAGGAGGTTGGACTAGAAGACCTCCAACTCTGTTATTCTGTTTCCCAGCCTTGTGGGTTTCCAGATGGGTGGACTTCAACTCCCCAAACCCCATCAATAATCAGGCTGGCTGTGGAATTCTGGGAGTTGAAGTTCACTCTCCCAGGAAATTCCCACGGTGGAGAAACCGTGACCTTAGGGCTTCCAGAAGTGCTGGGATAAGAGAACAAGCCTAGACATTGTCCACACAAAGCAATGCATCTTGCAAATGTCTTTCATCTCCTTCACAGCTGACATGAGGGATGACTTTGTCAAGGAGATCAGGAACTTGAAAAGTCTGAAACACACAAGGCTCATCAAACTTCTGGCCGTCTGCTCTGTGGGGGAGCCCGTTTACATTGTGACAGAGCTGATGCGGAAGGGCAACCTCCATAGCTACCTCAACAGTGAGTATTATCGCTTTCCGCTGATGCTTCCAGACCCAGACCTCGTAGAGTTGACCAGTCCAATGTGAAAATGGTGGCCACAATAAATTACTAAAAACCCAGCATAAGGTCCAGAGCAGAGGTGGCATTCAGCTAGTTCTGACCGGTTCTGGCGAACCAGTAGCAGAAATTTTAAGTAGTTTGGAGAATCGCCAAATACCACCTCTGGCTGGCCTCGCCCCCATCTATTTGCTGCTCCCTGAGTACCAGCTGATCAGGAGGAAATGGGGATTTTGCAGTATCCTTCCCCTGCCATGCCCACTAAGCCACACCATGCCCACAGAACCAGTAGTAAAAAAAAATTGAATCCTACTACTGGTACACAGCCTGCAGTAATCTAGCATTCTTCAGATATCTGGATTATGGGTAGTCCTCAACTTATGACCACAATTGAGCTTCCAGGCCTGACACTCAAATTCAGTCACTAAATGAATAGTTGTAAGTCACCCAACATGGTAGAGCTTCAATCTTATGGCTGTGGCTATATCAGTGGAACTTTATGACTCCGCCTCATAGGTGCTGCCTCACAGACACACACACACATCCTTACAGGTAGTCCTCATCTTATGACCACATCCGAGCCCAAAATTCCTGTTGATTAGCAAGCGGGTTGTTAAATGAGTTTTTGCTCCCTGTTATGACCTTTCTTGCCAAGTGTTGTTAAGTGAATCACTGCAGCTGTTACATTGGGAACATGGTGGCTAAGTGAATCTGGCTTCCCCCTTGGCTTTGCTGGTCAGAAGGTCGCAAAAGGGGATCACATGAGCCCGGGACACTGCAATGGTCATAAGTATGAGCCGGTTGCCAAGTATCTGAATTTTGATCACGTGACCATGGGGTTGCTGCAATGGCCCTATGTGTAAGAAATGGCCATAAGTCGCTTTCTTTCAGTGCTGTTGTAACGCCAAACGGTCACTAAATGAACAGTGGTAAGCAGGGGTGGGATTCAGCCAGTTCGGACTGGTTCGGACGAACCGGATGCTAGTTTTACATCTGGTTTGTCAAGCCAGCAGTTGCAAAGACTGGCTGGCCCCACCCACCCAGCACGCCTCTCCCAGGAGTCTCCACGTGGCCCATTTTGCCAGGTAAGTGCAGGGCAAAAAATGGGCCTCCCAGAAGTTCCGGAAGTCTGGAAATGGGCCTGTTTCCGGCCTCCGAAGCCGGTGTGTGTGTGTGAAAATGCCCATCCTGCCGTGGTGCAGGAGGCCAAGTAGGGGACGCCCATCATGGCCATGCCCACCCAGCAACCGGGCAGAGAACCGGTTGCTAACATTTTTGAATCCCACCCCTGGTTGTAAATTAAAGTCTACCTGTACTAGTCTTCTGCATGCAGGCACACACACATACACACATACACAAACACACACACAGGCAGCCAGGCAGAGTCAAAAGCCTTCCATGGTTTGCTAAAGGCTATCCTATCAGCCGGGAAACCACCCAAGAACTGGTTCCTCCTTAAATGTAATTTTATAAATTCCCCCTTTGGAAAATTGCTCTCTATTACTTTCCCAAAATTTCACCTTCCTCGGGCGGTTGGGCAGCAACTTCCTTGGGTTCAGATGCCATTTGAAGACAGCTCCAATTTCAGCCAAAGCAGGTGAGGAATTCCCAATGCCCCCCCCCCAACGTGCCACCCTTTTCTATGGAGATTTTCCTCGGCTGAGAAATCTCTCGTCCAAGGGAAGCCAGTTTGGCTCCTTCCCATGAGAAGCTTCCTGCGCTGAAGGACCTGACCTCCATTCCAAATCTGGTTTGTTACCTAAGCTGGGGCAACTCCCTAGGAGAACGAGTCTGCAGAGCCAACGTTCTTCTCGGTTTCCTAAACACTTTTGCCTGCCTAATGAGTTTCTTTCTTGCGTCATCCCAGAGCAAAATAGCTTTGCGTGGTGCGTTGTGTTTACAAAGTGTAGTCTGATCTCATCTTCAGCCTTTCCGTGGACAAGAGATGGAACCATCAAACTGGTTTTCTTCTGAGGGCTGGAAGACTCAATTCCCCGCTTTGAGGGAATCCAGGCCCTTGTGGGATGTGTCAGTCAAGCCCAGATGTTAATCCTCCGAGAATCACGGCTGGATTGAATAAGGAAAGAAAAATTCCATCTTACTGGTGGGAAGAAGCTGAGAAGGTTGCAGTTTTGTTTCAAAATTAAGCTGCTAATCTGGAAGTGAGACTCGTGGTGTGGGAAGCCCACCCACCCAGAAGAATTGAAATGTCTTTTTTTAAAAAAAAAAAAAAAAAGGCAGAATATTATATTTCCCCTAAAGGAGAAATGAAAAAAATCTTAAGGGAGGCAGAAACCAGCCCCAGTTTCCCTGCCCGCAAGCAGAAACTCGAGGAAGCCAGAGATTTTAGAAATGCAGATTTGGCAATCCATTCAGAAAGACTGGGTCAGAGAGAGACTCCAGATAAGCAACAAGCTAAAAGTAGACAAGATTAGCTCAGACAAACTCCTAGGATTTGCATTTCCATTTTCGTCTATAGAGCCATCCATGACCCCTACATGAACACCTCCCCCCCCCCCGAGGAATCCAGAAGGTATAAAAACCCACCTACTCTCAACTCCATTTTGTCAGCTGCCCAGAATCACATGTGGTTGGTGGTTCTATTTTATCAATAAAGGGATTTTTTCTTCCCAATCAGCCTCCAGCCTCTATTTAACTCCAGTGCCTTTCTCCCAGAATGGAACTGGATCTGGATATTTCTTCCAACAGTGGGTTTGCTTCAGGTTAATATTTTGTGTGAAAATCACCTAGAAAGAATTGGATTGTGCTTAAAACTCCCCTAAAATCTGTTCCTTGTTGGTATTGTAAAAGGACCTCCGCACATACCAGTAGAGTAGATGCTGTATTTTTTGTCCTCCGTCTAACAACTTCTGATACGACACTGCCCTCTCTTGCCGAAGAAGCATAGTTATTGGCTTACGGCTACAATTGAGCTCAAAATTTCTGTCGTTAAGTCAGCAAGAGAAAGTCATAAAATGGGGCAAAACTCACTTAACAACAAAAGTGAGTTTTGCCCCGTTTTACGACTTTTCTTGCTGCGGTTCTTAAGTGAATCACAAAGGGTCGAAGGTCGATAGCAATAGCACTTAGACTTACGTACCGCTTCACAGCCCTCTCTAAGCGGTTTACAGAATGAGCCTCTTGTCCCCCAACAATCTGGGTCCTCATTTGACCCACCTTGGAAGGATGGCTGAGTCAACCTTGAGCCAGTCAGGATCGAACTCAAGACTGTGGGCAGAGTTTGCCTGCAATATGGAATGGAATAGCAATAGCAGTAACACTAGCATTTAGATTGGTATACCGCTTTACAGTGCTTTACAGCCCTCTCTAAGCGGTTTACAGAGTCAGCCTCTTGCCCCCAACAATCTGGGTCCTCATTTGATCCACCTCGGAAGGATGGAAGTTGCTGAGTTAGGAACACGGTTGCTAAGCGAATCTGGCTTCCCCATTGACTGCTCGTCAGAAGGTCGCAAAAGGGGATCACATGTCCCTGGGACACTGCAACCGTCACAAATGCAGGTAGCCCTCGACTTACAACAGTTCACTTAGTGACCATTCAAAGTTACAAGGGCACTGAAAAAAAGGGACTTATGACTGTTTTTCACACTTACAACCTTTGCAGTATCCCCTTGATCATGTGATTAAAATCCAAATGCTTAGCAACCGCTTCATGCTTGTGACCGTTGCAGTGTCCCGGGGGTCGTGTGATCCCCTCTTGTAACCTTCGGACCAGCAAAGGGAAGAGGGGGGGGGGCAGCCAGATTCACTTAACAACCGGGTTACTTACTTATCAACTGCAGTGATTCACATAACGACTGTGGCAAAAAAGGTCGTAAAATGGGGCAAAATTCACTTCACCAGTGTCTCTC